TGTAGTATAGTATACCCCGAAACCCAACTCACACTCCTACGGCCACTATTGTTTTGCAACCTTCATAACTAAATCCTAAGCCGTCCCGAAACCGAATTCACGCTTTAGAAATCCCTATACTACACTTCCGTTTAGGGTTTCAGGGTTTAAGATTAAACAGCGCCGAACTCCCGAACAAAGTTCAGTATGTTTTTTGGGTTTAGGATTTGGGGTTTGGGGTTGAGGGTGTAGGGTTGCAGGCTGTTCCAGAGGGTCCTCTTGAATGTTCCAATAGGGTTTGGGTTTAGGGTTTGGGTTTCGGGTTGGAGGGTTGCCCGTGGGGTTGTTCGTGTCCGCAGTTTCTCGCGGTATCAAGACATCGACATGAGTTTTTCACAGGGTCAAGGGCTTCCTCCTAAAGAGGCTAGACTAGGTTTAGGGTGTAGGGTTTAGGGTTTAGGGTGTCCATGTCAGTAAACAGTACAACACCTATGAAGCATTTATAAAGCAGTATCACGCCATTTGCAAGCCTGTGTATATACGGTCTATAACCCTGTTGACAATGACCCGCCCCCCATGACTGTGTGATGCCACATTGTGCGAAACAGCCAAAAGAAGCCTAGGGTCAAAAATCCTGGGGTTAGAAAACAGGGTTGCCCGTCAAAAGCGGGCTGTAGGCCCTGATTAAAATGTATACGATACCTCCCGTTTAGAAGATTAAGGTTCCGATATTATCCGGTTAGGTTGGTTCTTGTTCCAGCTTTGCATCCCCAGACGTGGAGTTCACTAGCGAGTCCCATTACATGCTGTAGCTCTGGCATCCAGCAACTGCAGCTGACAGGTGAGTGGGGTGGCTGGACAAACTACATCAACAAAGGCAGCGAGCCAACAGATGCAGTCGGCAGACCTCTTTTTCTGCGCAGCTGCGATGTGTTGGACGGAGGTTCAGTTTCGGAATTAGGGTTCTGGATGTCAGCTTTTGGGCGGTTCAGAGTTGGCTGCTATCTAGTCCCTTACAACGGCCTGAAGTGTTGTGGCTCTGGCCATCTGGACCAGAAGCCTTAAACCCTGAAGCCGCACCCACGTGCAGAGAAAAAGATCTTTCAAAAAAGTCCTCAGAAGCAACATGCCCTAAGACTAAACCCTGCCCACAGCTCCTGCACAGGCACATACAATGTCTCGGTGCGAATGGCGAGTCGCGAGGCCGTCCAAATGGGCATGAGACCTTAATTCCCGGCTTTTGAACCACAAGCTTCAAAGGCGAAACTCCACACCCTGCCATGGTTAAATACAGATAAACTCAGATAGACTGCAGAACAAGTTCTTTGTGGTCATGTACCACAGCCCTAGTCAAATTCAACCCGCCACTACCACCACCACCATCACCACCACCACCATCACCACCACCACCGACACTGCCTAGCACCGTCATCATCATACTCGTCATCACCATCATCATCATCATCATCACCATCACCATTACCAAGGCCATGAGCATCACACCGTCATGATCGTCATCATGACCCTAATTCTCGCAATCCTACTCCTCACCATCATCACCCTCACCCACGCTCATGAACAACAATGACAGATTAAGAGCAATAAACCCTAAACCCTAAACCCCTAAACCCCCTAAGATTAAGAACA